AGTAAAATCGCCTATTCTTCAAATTAACAGTTGAGAGAAAAATAAATAAACAAACAAACAACAAACAAACAAATAAATAAATAAACAAATTAATTAATTATTTATTTATTTATTTATTCATTTATTTATTTATTTATTTTATTCATACTGAATCCAGGAATGTACCCTTTTCGAGTTCCAAATTACCGCTGTGTTCCTTGATTACAGACTCATTTGCACAGGGTTAGCCTCGCATCAGTGTTTAAATATTCACAAATACCAACAGTAAAGTAAAGAATGCACAACTCCAACAATACTAACACTTTGAAATTCGACGGACCTTGACTGAGACACGTGAATATTCTGCACAAAATCGAGGCTAACCCTGAGTAAATGAGTCTGTAATCAAGAAACACAGCGGTAATTTGGAACTCCAAAAGGGTCTATTGAACCCATTAGACGCAAGAGGTGAGAGGCGAGTGCACAGCTTCCACACCACCCTCGCTCCCCTAAAGTTTGATAAATTCCGGTAAAACTTTCAACTTCAAATCCTTTATTTATTTTTCTAGCTCAATGCAAATTCAAAGAAAGCTAGCCGCAATAAAGACGAGAAACCATTTGAAGGTCTAACAAAGAGATTTGCCACCTCAATTGCTTCTCTTAGTCGCCTAAAGAACTTCAAGAAATTTGCTGGTCTAACGTCACATGCCTCTCAGTCAAGCGCTATAGACCTCAGCTGTAATGACCGTTACGAGAGTAACCACGTGACTCAAGAAATGAAGTCTTCGCTGGAAAAATCGACGGATTTTCCATCTGATGAGACTATTAAAGCTACTTTTGTTGAAATGTCCGAGGCCCAACCTGTCCAAATCCACCAATGTTGTGTACATGGCAGATCTAGGTTTAGTCCAACAAGACAATATCCTGGAACACCCGACCAAGGGAATAATTTTTGGTTTAGTAACAGAAATCTCAGCGCAAGAAGCTCGAGTGAAGCTCAAAGGGAAGATAGTTCAATGAAGCCAACGAGTAATGGGTACGCGGTTGCAGAAAGAAAGCCATGCGCACGAAAGCGTAGAGGATATGACTCAGCAAACGGTGACCATGAAAGTATTTCCTTGAAATCGTTCCAGGAGAATGGCACTAGTTTACAAACCGCTGACCAGCAGAATGATAGTGAAACCGAAGAGCAAGACAATGAAGATTATGATCAACTGTCGGATGAATGGAATACACCAATTTGATATCATAAAAACTTTATACTAAAATAGATATGTAAAATTTATCTTTTACATTTTTCATTAAAAAGGGTAAAAAAATATTTAAACTTAAATCAACCAAATCAATCAATCAAATTTTTAAAAATATTTTAAATAATTATTGGGTGTTGGTAGACCTCGGAACAGCGGAACCTGCTGAACGACCTCAGAAAAAATATGATTTTAATGCACCTTTACCGTGGTTTACTCATCCCCTAAGTTCTTTATTAAAAGCCTGTTTATAGTTTTAGCTCTATGTTATATATTCAAGGTATCGCTAAAGAAAACAAAATAATGCTCAAGGAATGATATGGAAAACATTTTGTCAACAATGAAGAATTTAATTATTATTTATTTTGTTATTTCATTTAATTTTTTTTTTCTTTGCGTTTATTTGTTTTTTGGAGGTTATTTGTTTGTTTGTTGATTTTTGTTGCTGTTGTTTTGTTGTTGTTTACTTGTTGGTTTGATTTTTGTTTTTAATATCATTTGTTTTTTTATTGTTAGTTTTTAATTCTTTGTTCAGTTTTTATCAATTTTCAATATATTTCCACCTTATTATTCTATTAAACAGTATTGTTCTTAATCGTTTCTTTGTTTGTTCAGTTGTTTTAAGTTTTTCAAAGTCATAAATGAGAGTTTTTTTCATAAACTAGAGCTACGAGCCACATTAATCTCTTTGGATAAATAAAAGACCATATATCGTAAAATATTAAGTAGTGGACGTCAATTAGATGATGGTAACTGAATACGGTAGCTGCATTGTCAATATAATAAGCCTTGCTAGATCTCTCAGTAAATATTTTCCAAGTTATCTAATAAAAATGTTAAACATATTTTTGGATTTACACTTTGAATTCAGCATGCATTTTGATGGTGGTGAGTGTGGTGGTTGTAGTGCTGGTTGTGCTGGTAGTGGTAGTGCTGGTAGTGGAGTTGGTAGTGGTAGTGGTGGTAGTAATGGTGGTAGTAGTGGTGATAGTTGAAGTGGTGTTGGTGCTAGTACGGTAGTCGTGGTGGCGGTGATGGTGGTGGTAATGGCGATGGTGATGGTGGAGTTGTAGTGGTGGTGGTAGTGGTATTGGTATTGGTGGTAGTTGTGGTGGCGGTTATAGTGATGGCGATGGTAATGGTGATGGTGGAGTTAGTAGTGGTGGTGGTAGTGGTGTAGTATTGGTGGTGGTGGTAGTTGTGAAGTGTATGAACTGTCACGCTTTCAATAAGTTAGTTGTGTGACAT